CCCCCCCCCCTCTTTTTTATTGTTTAAAGTAAAAATTATGAAAAGTACAAGAAGCAAATATTAAATCTGATTTTTTTTTAATTGAAATATCTAATTGGTAAAAAAAAAAAGCATGATACTGTTTCTAACAGAGCATACGGATGATTTCTCTTTTAAAAATCATATATTAATACACACTAAAGTAGCTGATTTTGAAAAGTGAGAAATATATATATATAACTTTTTACTGCTCAATCATGTAAACCCTCTAAAAAGATGAATGGGAATTCATCTTTTTACAAACAAGATTGTTACAAAAATTCTATTTGTCTATATTAAAAATATTAGTAAAAGCCTCCGCCATTGCTGGTTTTGGTCTTCAACTTAACGTTACATTTTGTTTTGCTCCGCAAAAATTATGAGACTTAGAAACTTAAAATTACTAAGATGTGTAGAAAAATGTACCGGCATTACGATAGAATAAAAAAAGTTAACATTTGTAATTAATTCAAAAAAACCTTGTTGGAAAAAATACCATACGGGTCGCTCTACAGGCCGCAGAAATGCAAATAACGAGCAGAAATTTGACATGTTGAAGAGGTCACATGTTTGAAGACACAGAGATTTTTTTCGAAATTCCAATTTGTTTGAAAGTTATTCAGTTTTTAGGTGCTTTTTTTACGATTTTTTTTTCCCCGCTTTACGTTACATTTCGTTTCGCTGCTCAAAATCTATAAGACTTAGAAACTTGAAATTACAAAGGTGTGCTGAAAAATGCACAAAGCTTTCGTTAGAATTATATATACAATTCGGTTATTAGTTTGAGAATTATTAACTGTTAAACTTGTACTTGTAGTGAAAAAAAAAAAAAAGCTGGTCGATCTATCTACTGTTTTCTAAAATGCCACTGTAGAGTTAAAATTTGATGCACTGATGGGACCATTTTTTATTTTAATTTTAACGGTATTTTTTTATTCTTTTCGAAATTCTTATTTAGAAAATATTGAAAAAATTGTTTTTTCTTGATTTTTTTTAAAAATATATATCGATTATTTATTCATTGCAGTAGAAAATTTATTTTTCTCTATCAAGATCTCTATTTTATATACTCGCTCACGAATATCTTCGAAAAGTAGCAAAAAAGGGAGAGAGGATGTTGTTTAAGATATAAATATTAACATTCATAGTGAAATTTTTGTAAATAAGAAGAAAAATTTAAAAAAAACTTAATAGCAATAAAAACCGTTCCCTATTTGAATTGCTATAAATATTTTCCAAGAGTAAAATTACCTCTTTTTTTTTTTCCCCCTTATTAAATTTTACAATCTGCATTCCTTTGATTTATTTTTTCAAGTACAGATGATTGTTTTTCAAAACTAGGTAATCATCTATTTCATTGAGATTCACAAAATGTTCTTATAGAAAGCTACAATAATTAGACATATTTCAATTAATATGTTCTGCATTTTTGTTGAAAATATTGACTTTTAAAAATATTTTTTGAGGAGCGTAGTGAGTAGGGGGCGGAGCCCAGTATTAACAGTTTTTACGTTTAATGACTCCATAGAGTGTTTATAACACATATAGCTAAAGAATGCGAAATTCCTAAATTTTATGTAACTTTTAATTATTGATTATGTTACATCTATTTTCCTTCATATAAAATTTTGACTATTCAGCAAATTAGTTTAAAAATACTTTAATGCTTTATATCCGATTGAGCTGGCTCTTTTTCTAAAAGTTTGTTCATAATTTATTTAATCTTTTGCTTGCCTTTAAAAAATTACTTCAAGTAAAATGCCAATGAAATGGGAATTGCAAACATTTTCTTTTCGTTATTTGTTTGACTAAAATAATTGTAAGGAAAAAGGAAATAATTAAACACTTGCTTATGGGAAAATAGTTATAGTTATTTATAATTATCCTAATAGTTATTTATTAATTTACGTCGATGCAGATTTTAGAATTAAGCATACTGTAACAATTAGCTAGCTGCCTGGGTTTACAATTTTTATTTATCTCTTGAACAAAGCTAAATGCCGAAAATGGTTATTCTACACTTGCTGGTCATTTGATGCATAATTGCAAAGGAATTACAAGTTCACTGAATGTAGGATGATAAAAATAATAAAACGCTTAATGAATGTAATAAATAAAATAATTAATGTATGTTTATTTATTAACTCTTACAAATATTTTTATGTTAACCAATCTTCTTTGCACTTTTATAGGTCCAAAGTGTCATCACTCAAATCTTATCGATTTTTGACCTTTATGTTTTAATTGAAGCTTCACCAGGTTCTACTCATTACAGATATTTTGGAATAAATTTTCTTTTTGTGTACAGTGGTAATAAGCATGGTAAGTTGGCCTGATGTTATTTAATATTAACTTATTAGAAAATGCAATTTTTTTATTATTTTAATTTGTGAAGTGAGAAAAAAGTTAGCCTTTCCTGTTTAGGATATTCTTTATGCTTTGTACTTTTATATCTCTTCCTTGTTTACCTTGAAAGTTGTTTCTACTAGTCTAATGGCAACAACCTCCATGACCTAATGTTTGCTCATTAAGTGTTGTTTGAGTTGCCATCAGAATATAAAAGGAAAAGGATTTAATTTTTCAACTAAACTGTTGATTTACATTAAGTACAATAGAAAATTATTATAAATTGTTTTTTTTCCCTTTATTTTGATTTTTTTGTTTTGACTGCATTAAAGTAAGGGGTTTTATTTTTGTATCATTTATCCTAATAGAATAATTAATGCACTGAGTTCAGTTATAATTTTTTTTTTCAAATCCTCCCCCCCCCCTCTTTTTTATTGTTTAAAGTAAAAATTATGAAAAGTACAAGAAGCAAATATTAAATCTGATTTTTTTTTAATTGAAATATCTAATTGGTAAAAAAAAAAAGCATGATACTGTTTCTAACAGAGCATACGGATGATTTCTCTTTTAAAAATCATATATTAATACACACTAAAGTAGCTGATTTTGAAAAGTGAGAAATATTTTGAAATGTGTTTCTTTGTTAAGCATCCAGTTTTGTGTTGATAGTTTTTTTGTTTTAAGAAAGATAATGCCTATTTCTTGATGTTCTAGAATCTCGGTATTGTGCTTTACAATGTGTGAAGATTTTTTTTTTTTATTTTTTTATTCTTGGGATGGGATTGATAAAAAAATTGTGAAGTCAGTAACATGAAAAGTAATGCCTTCAGCCTGTTGGCCAAGTTAATAATGGCGGTTAGCATTAACAGTGATACAACTGGTGTGAGAATATTCAAATTAAACCATATAATAAAAATCTTAACTTAATTCTGTTCTTCCTTGTCTAAACAAACTTCGAAAAATATGTCGACTGAGAAGGTAAACCAGAAAGAGTTTCAGGAAATATTTAACTTAATATTTTTAAAAAATTCTGTATCAGTCACTTGGTCTGTTTATAAACAATAGATTAAAATTTCATTTGTTAATTTTTAGATAAAATGAAATTACGTAAACTTAATTTTAGGAATATCTATATTTATTATTTTTATTAACTTTATGTTAATATTTATATATAACTTGATTATATTGATCTTCTTGATACACTAGGCCATGGTATCCAAAAATCTCAGGTTTTTTCTAGTCGGTGTTTAAAAGAATGGTAACCAAAAACAATAAACATAACAAAACACCTAAAACAATTTAAATTAAACAAATTTGAATTATGTTGAGCTGAAAAGTCAATAATTGTTCATAGATTAGACAGTTATAAAATTCAGACATGATTGTGCTCTGGAAAAAATCCGGATTTTTCTGTATCTGCGATCCTGAATTCCAAAGTCCAGAAGTTTCAAAATATCATGGATCGCATTAATGTATAAGACTTCTTGTATATTTTATTTAAAAAAATATAAGAACTAGAATTTATACTTGGCATCTCTTTCATTCCTAATTATTTTTTCTAGTAGAATAAATGTGGTTAGAGATAAAAGTAAACTTATACATAATTATTAATTTAAATTATTCTGCATATAAATTTATTTAGAATTTCATGTTGTGAAAATATCAATGATTTAAATTTTTAAAGACCACATACACTATTTGAAATGTGTCATAAATGATTTTACTCAAGAAATTTTCATGAATTTTGAGTTGGGCTCACTATTACCCCTGAAAATTTCTAATGTTTAACTTCTTTTAATAAAGTATCTAGAATAGTCTTTATCATAGTCTTAATGCGTAATTATTTTATTAATTAATTTTAAAAGAAGCTGGTTCACTATTGCAATGACTATGGGCTTGCATTTTTTAGGAGATTCATGGTACTTAATTCTTTTTAAATTTTTAATTTTTAGAATTTCTTAAAGAAGAAAAAAAATTAAAAAATCAATTTATTGTGTGACCCCTAAAAACTTCTTTTCTCATCCAAATAAATTTCATTCAATATATTTTTTTTTCAATATGATAACTAGAAGTATTTATTTTTGTTCCATCTACTTCTGCCTTTTCTTTTTTATGCATGTATGTTCAAAATTTTTATTTTTATTTAAATTTTTATTTGTCAGCAGTCAAAATCTAAAGACCTATACTAATTAAATACTAATAATTTACTAATTTAAAATTTCAGCCTTTTCCTTTGCATGAAGTCTGTGTTAAAAAAAATTTTAATATTTTTAAATTTACGCCTAGCTTGCAGGACGCAGGTGTCTAAATATTTTTGTTTAATTTCTTTATTTTATTATTGCGGAATGTTTTTAGCTTGATATCCCGGATAGAAACTAATCTAACTCCTGCATCTAAACTTGATAATTATTAATGTTGTGCAGGTATTATAAAAAAAAAACAACTTTTATAGTTTAATCATCACACATTTTTTAACAGCTGAATATTTTTATTAACTAATAATTGCAAAAAATATGAACCTAAATTAGTTAAATATCAAAGTATTTAAAGTCTATATAGATATTATAATGAAATAAAAATTATTAACTGTGTACAAAACTTTTACCGCAACTTGGGTATAAAATGTTCGGTTACCCATGTCACAGTTATCAACATTTTCTGTTTTAGAGGCATGATGTATCCAATTTGAAAAACGTTATAAAACTTGTAATAAAGATTATTACCTACACTTTGCATATTAATATACAGTGTAACTCTTAACTATTCAGTGCCTGAAGGTTGGAGAAATAATCAGATAGTCAGAGGGGGTACTGATTTTCTATTCATTTGCTAAAAATTCTAAATTAAAATTGCAAAATTAATAAACATACTAAATATAGTAGGTACTACTAGCAAGTTGTCCTTTTTTTCATAAATAATAATACTATTTCTAGAAAATTAATTTCCACTTACATTTCCAATTTTAAGTTAATAAATTTTTCAGAACCGTTTATTTTTTAATGAGTACAATTAAATATGTTGTTTAACTCTATTTTAATCAGCTATTAAGATATTCAGAACTCAGTAATTTTTTTAATAAGTAATATAATTTTTTAAGATTTTTGCAAATCACATGCAGCTTTCACAGTTTAAGTAGTCTAAAAATCTTTCAAATAACCAACTGTGTCATATAATCAAATTTCTGTTAATTGGTGTCCTTTTGTATTAGATTAATAATATCCAGAGAATTAATGTTTTGTTAAAATCTTATAAAAAGACTTTTATATTAATTTTACGGTATTTTAAAGTAGTAAAAATATCAATTATAATTTTTATTGTATCTGTTACAATACGTGAGTAACATAATATAATTTGATTTGTAAGAATTGAATTTAAGATTGTTCAGAAAATAGTGTGTAGGTTAAAAATAATTATGGTTATGTTATGGTATGAGAAATTTCTGAATCATGATTATAAACATATTCAGAATTTTAGAACAGATTTGTGTTATGTTGAAAACTTCTATCTGCAATTCTTCTTAAAAAGTTAAAGCCTTTAAAAATTATAAGAGTAACATAAATTTCTATTAAATATTAAGTTTTGTTTACTTATGAATTTTTCAATCATTTTTTTTCAGTGAGGAATTTACTAATACTATGCTCGGTAATTTCCTTTGCTTTGGCTGTTTATATGTTAGTAGTGTCTGTGATTTTGATGAGAGCTTTAAGGAAGGTAATATATAACATCTGCAATTTCATTATTTTTATCAACTACATCTAAAATAGTTTTTTAAATGTCTCTTAAAGTAAAAGTATTATTTAAATTGATCACACTTGAAATTTTTATTTTAATGAAAAAACCTTGTTAAATTTTATTTTGTTTTTTGTTCATTTATTAGTTTTTTTTTCAGTTATTACTATAATATATGATTTTTATTTTGCATGAAAAGAAATTGGCAGACTAAAGGATAAGCATTTGTCAATAATACTTTTTCACTAATAATGTTCTAGATTGCCTTATAAAAACTTATTGGCTCAAAATAACCAATGAGCAAGACAAAGGAAACTCCATTAATGCTTAATACTTTGCAATAATTTCAATACTTTTGTTACTTTATACTTCTAGTTAATACTTAAAATAAAAAAGTTGGTGTAGAGATAGATAATGAAGATGTTTCTTTTTTTCTTTAGATTAATAATAGATACAAACATTCATATTTTCATAAAATGCATTCCAAAAAGATTAGATTCGATTCGATGTGCAAGTAGAATTGTTATTCATGCATGTATATTATAGCATTTCCCTCCTGGTTAGACTTGTAAAAGTTAGACATACTTTTTAGCCCTGCTTAGTAATGTTTCGTAATCAACAAAGACCGACACTTAAATCATTTATGTAAAATTTTATGACAGAGGTTCAGTAGGTTAAGTTATAATATTAATAATTAAACTTTAATTTTAATCTGATTTATTGTAATGATACTCATTGTTAAATTGTTTTAGTATTATTTTTATTCGGTAAAAGTTTTATTCTTATAATTTTTTTAGGAACTTGAGAAAAAATTCATGCCATGGCTTATGGCAGCTCTCATATTTACATCTTGGAATTTTGTTGCCATTCTTTTCAAATCTACAGCCAATGTATGTACTTTTAATTTGTTTTATTATTTATAGCATAAAACTATCTCTTAGAAATTATAATAAAATTCCCTCATAGAATTCTATGAGGACAACAATGTTTAATCTCAAATTGCATCTGAATGACGTCTCTCCTAAAATTTAAAATTTTTGTGTTACACACTGATATAATTTATTACTGAAAATTTATATCATCTAGTAAAAGAATGTGCTTGTAAATGTGTAATATTAATTTGAATTAATATATTATTAATTAATTAATTTATTATTTTTTAATGCAGAATTTACTTTTTTCTTTCAAAATACATTGCCAGAAATTCTATCTCTCTTATATGAGTCACCTAGGTGCAAAACATTATTAATAGCATTTTATGGGGAAAAAATTAAATGTATTATAGTGAAATTTTATCTCAGTTTCAGTGTGATACTCTTTCAATTCTTATTGCTTTAGTGCTTTAATTTTTGTCCTAACTTTTAAATATTGTTTGCTTTCTTATATCATGGTTTTTAGATTTTAATGTTTTGAATGTTGTTATTTTGAACTAGTAGTTGAATACTTTTTCTGTAACAATACTCATAAATCACTTTACTTTGTTCTAGTAGATTCAGTATAGGAAAGGAATTTATAAACCCTTTTTAAAATAAAATATAAACTGTTTATCTTTCTTTTTTTCAATATTTATTACAAAATTTGTTTTTTATTTGTTATATTTTTTATTTCAAATACAGTTTAACAATTATATAATCTTCATTTAGTTGAATTTTAAACTAATAAAATTCTTTTATGCAATAAAACTTGTATTTTTGTGTTCATTTTTAACCTGAATGACTACCTGCATTATATAAATATTTTCTTGTGTGTAATTATTATTATTAAAAATAAGTAAAATTAAAGAGTTTTTATAAGTATTATAAAGCAATAAATTTTTTATGTATATTCAATCAATTTTTTATTTATAAAGCAATCAATTTTTTATTTATAAAGCAATTAATTTTTGTATTATGTATCAACTTTTTTTTTAAATAATGTTTATTTTACAGAAAATTAGCCTAGTTTTTTTTCTTTCTATTTTATAAATGTTTATTAATGTACGTGTGTTAAAACAAATTTTTTTTCAAGGATCTTTATTATGCATATCATCAAGCAATGCTAATAATATGGACATTGATGTTAGCTGGAAATGTAAGTCATTAATAATAGTGAAAAATTTTATGTTATTTGAAATATATTAATATTTGCTTAATCAAAAGCTTTAACTCACGGTATGATAAATTTTTTGCCAAGTTAAATAGCCATATTAAGCAAAAATTAATAATAATCAGTGGTCTGTTTTGAAGAAATTAGGGTTCGTTAACGGACCCTTCACAAAATAATTTATCTTTTAATCGAACCCTTCACAACTTTGTTTATCTTCATTATTGTTTTGTTAATCGAATAAACCCTTCCCGGGGGGGGGGGAGACAGATGTAAATAAACTAAGTTTTGTCTTCAGCAGACGCTTCTTCCTTTATTCGTCCGAAATTAATATTCTGTGTTCAGCAGTATAGGCTAAATACCAAATATTTGTATGTTGCATCCCTAATTTAGTAGCAGCAATTGCTGTTTATCTTTTAGAATTTTTTTTTTATTATAATTTTACAGTGTTGAGCATAATCTTGTATACAATTAATCTTGTATACAATACGCCGTTACAATTTAAAAACTCCTTGAAAAAGTTTTTTGCATTAACAGGTTTTTTGCACATATTCACAAAAACAGGACCCTTTTTGTAAGAATGTGACTTAACGTTTATATTCACAAATTATGAGTAATTTTTTCACAATTTTACGAAAACGGACCTTTCGCAAAATGTCTGAACTGACCCCTGATAACTCAACTTAATATTGCTAAATTTGTGCTATTCTAAATTTACTTCGTTTTTTTTTTTTTTTTAAATTAAACTCTTGAATTTTTTTAAGAACTTATATTGCAGTAAATAATTTGCAGCGAAGGAATAATATAAAATTTCTTTTACAAGAAACAACTGACCTTATAACAACTTAATTTTCATTTTGTGTACCTACTTGAAATGTCAAAAACTCTTTATCTGTATCTAAAGCTTTAGCTTTCTCTTTATTTATTCATAGTTTTTTATTGTATTGTGTTGTGTAAAGTTCAGATCTTATAATTATTTTGAAAATGTCTAAGAAATTAGAATGTTAATTATAATACTAAGTTGCAATAAAATAAAATAAATCATATTGTGAAATAGAAATAGTCATTCTAAGAAGAAATTTATATGTAGTAGCTTTAAATCTGTACCTTACTTCTATCTCTCTTGCATATCTCTAAAATGAATCTTGCATGAAATTTCATTTATAGATTCTTAATGTTTTATCGTGCCAGTAAAAATACAAATATTTTAGAAATTGTCTTTAAAAATAATAGAAATTAGTATTTTATTATTTTCTCGTTACTTTATTTTTCTTTGTTTTCATCTTTATTTATTTTTTCTTCATAGATCTTGATTCTTCTGTATTTCTAGTTGCTATTTTCATTTTAAATGTTAATCTAAATTGTTTCAGAAAATTTAGAAACTTTCTTTGATTTCAAGTGCTTTTGGTAATTCTTATTTCAGACTTAATGTATGAATACTTGTGCATGACATATTTGCTCTTACCACATCTCTGTTGGTTAATGAAAATGTTACAGCAAATGTATTAATTACTTAAATTATTTTCCTTATTTGATTTAATTCCACTCTTAAAGAATAAAATTTATGTTTTAATGCATGAATACTTACATACTTTTAAACTTAAATTATCTGTATTTGTAATTGAAATTGCCACAGCAAATTAATTTGTTCCCTTAAAAATATGTTTTATTTAATTCCTATCCATTTGTTTTACGAGGTTGCTATGTCAAAGTTATTTAAGTTGGTTACCCTTGAATCATATGTAAAACCTTGGAACAACAAGAACTTGATTAATTATTATTAAAATGATTTTTGAAATGTCGCATTTCTAAGATGACATACCACACAGCAAGAAGCAGTTTATTTGTTAGAACAGCCGAGAAAATTACCAAAAGCAGCTAATTTGGTTTAATTCTGTTGTAAATTTAGAAAAAAAAATTGATTTCCATCTTATTTGTATAAAGTCTATAAAAAATAATTAAATATTTGAAAAGATGATGCCTAAATTTTTTGACAAATACTTGTACTAATATTTCTAATATATTGCAGGTATTTTTTATACTGGTTGTTTATTCCAACTACCAAGAGCTAACAGACATTACTAAGCTTGAAGATATGGCCAGGCTTAAAGTATGTATCTATCTACAAGTTTGTTTTTTGTCTGCTTTATCTAGATTATTATTCCTATCTAAAAAGTAAAAGGATAAAAAACTTTTAAATATTTTAATTGATATGAATTAATTAAAATACAATGCTTGTGTTTATTGCATATACTTAAATTTTAACTCTTTCCTATTTTTACCTAAATAACGAAACTATTTTCAAGGCCTTTAAAAAGTTTCAAAAATTCCTTTTTTAGAAAAAAAAATTATAAAAATCTTGTAAGCTTTAATATATTAATGCTTATAATACATGTTTTGTAACATTTACATGTATTTTACTAAAAGAATAAACCCCGTGCCAGAATTTTTTTTTCTTCTTACGTTTTATATCCATGTTTTCTATTTCTTTCTTTCGTTTTTTTTAAATTTTTTTTTAGTATCTCCTTTAAGAACATTCCACATGTCATAGGGGGAAAAAACTACTGTAATTCTTTTTTTTTTTTCCTTTAAAAATAAAAAATTTCTGTAATGATTGTCTTTAAATAGAATTTAAAATTAATATTATAAAAATTAATTCCAAAATTGCAAAAATTTAAAAAATAGTTTGTTTTAAAATTGATTTTTTAGAACATTTTATTTTATATTTTAATAAAATATGTCTGTGAGTGGGGATTTTGTTACAAATTCAGATGTGTAGGAAAAGAATTAATAAATCATTGTGGTATATTTTTCTTTTCTTTTTTTGATTTGGTATATATAAAATCTATTCAATATTCTTACTCTGACATTAGCACAAAAATATTAAATCACACATTAGAACGTTCACTTTATTGCTCACAGGTCATACCAATTACATCGTAAATAGTATTTTGATCATCTTTTTACAGTAATTATTGCTTCGAATTTTTGTTTTATAAAATCCTGATGTCTTTCATTGCTCAGTTATTACTATTGGTGATATAATGATATTCTTCTGATTCTTTTCTTTTAAATACGAATATTATTACAACACGGCATTTGATTAGTTAACCTTTAATGTTGTTTCAGTAGTTATTTCTTTTTTCTGAAGTACTTTTTTCTCATTTGATATTATTTCAACACATGAAATTTGCATCATGCATTTAAACACCTAATCACTTTTTTGACACCCTCAATTTATGCCTATGGCATCATAGCCCACGTGGTGTTTTGATTGCATTTTATTGTATAAATTAATATTTTTGATATTAATTTGTACATAGTTTTTAAAAATCACCATATAGTTTGGACGTATTTAATATATACTCCCGATGTATTTTATATAGTATGAGAGCTTCAAATCGCGCATTAGAGAATTTAATTTTTGACGCTATGATCCTATTGTTTTTTATGATCGATTTTTCTGCAGTTATTGCTATTAGTTTCCTCAAATTGTTTTAGGTAATATTTTTTTAATAAAATATTGTTTATTACAACAAGGGAAATATGGATTTGAGTAACCCTTTTTTGAAGAGTCTGATTGCGTGATTTCGTCATGAATCTTTTTTTTTTTTTTTTTTTTTTTTTTTTTTTTTTTTTTTTTTTTTTTTTTTTTTTTTTTTTTNTTTTTTTTTTTTTTTTTTTTTTTTTTGGTAGTTGCTGCCACAGATTTTGATGAGTTATAATTCTTTTTAATGTTATGAATATTTTATGTGTTGATTAACTAAAAATTCTTACATTTACTATTAAAAAAATTATATACTATTTAATTCTATACGTAAAGGCTTTTTTTTTCATTTGTAAACATGAATCTGTTCTGTTGCTATTGAAAATGTCTTTAAGTATGGTATAAGTGTTAAGAAGAACTGTCGCAAAACACTCGAAAAAATTCTGCCACTGGGAAATGAACTAAGGTCCTTTTTCTGTGAAGTATATATTTAATTTAAGCTTGCTATTCAATGATAGTAAAAATTTATATGAGCTAAATAAGGATATCTATAATATAATTTTGTTCACAATGTTTAATCATTTAGCAAGTTGAAATCTGTAGAAAGATGTTTTTTTAACTATAATATTGTTTGTGATTTATAAATATTGTGTCAATAAACCATCTCAGATATTTTAGTTTAAATGCCTATAACAAAGATAGTGAACTTATGGCATGCCTCAAAATGGCACACAACTGGTTCTTTTGTGGCTTGCAACAAGTACAAATTACTTTTAGTCGCTAACATTTACTAATAGTGAAATAAAGAAAAAGAACTCATAAACAGGCGTCATCAAAGATGGATTTAAAAGCTCATGTGAACATGGGTACCATTATGAGAAAAAGCTTATATGAAATAATTTTAAAATATTCTGTCTATCATATAGACAAAAATGTGAACTTCATAACTCTACATGCTCTAAAATATCTCAAGTTCAAGTTGCTACAGAAAATAGATTCTCAGTTTTAATTTACTTCTTATTACATTATCACCCAACCATGTTCAAGCACCTAGCCCCATTTATAGGGCTCTATATTTAAACGTCTGTGGTAGGAACCCCTCTTAATTTTGACCTCAATCAGATGATGGAAACATTGACTGAGCTGGTGCCCCTCTCTTCAAACTTCCACACCACAACCAACAAAAGGATTTTCAGCTACAAGACATATACGTGCACCTTGCTGTGTATACATGCCAGTTGTTTTATTAGCTGCCAGGATAGAACTCACTACTCCCAACCCTCTAACCAGCAGTGTGAGTGATGCCTTAACTGACTGCTAGTCTACATTCTAATCTACATTAAATTTCAGATCTTTGGCCAACTTATGCTTACACCTCAATCGACACAAATACAAACCTAAATTCTTTTTGTTATTATATGTTAAGATTACATTCTTAATTCTATAAAATCTTTTTTTACAAATATATACTAAAAATTTTAAAGTAGAATAAACTTGTATATTCTAACTAATTTTTTTCTTTTTCAGATGGGCACAATGAGTAGTTTGAATACCACATCTCACAGCCTTTCACATTATTCTGTTAATATGTTGGGTGGGACACAATCCAGAGCCTCCACTCCTCATGGACCTCCTTTAGCACTTACACCACATGCACCACCTTTTGCTGCAGTTTGATGAATAATTGGTTCACACAAGCTTTTTTTTTTCTAAAAGCAGCATTTAACATAAGAACCAAAGACATTTTGTGTACATTCCATCCATTTCATTCCGTCCTACGATGTAATACTTTTTGTCATGAGTACAATTTAGTTGGGCATGGGCATCAATTTTTGTAAACATTTTAACTAACCCGAGTGTTTTTATACAATTGTTAAATGTTTTTTCCTCTTTTTTTTTAATTATTTTATTTTAATTATATCTTATTTACACTCAAAACTTTATGCATTTTTAGAAATTTGTTTTTGGGAGGGATATGTTTTTTTTTTCTTTCTAGAATTTTTCATTCCAATTTTACATTATGATTGTATTGTATAAAAGAGAAAACATTTATTTGCTGCAATCATCAAACATTGGGATGATTGAGTTATTGTTATTTGTGTACAAAGTTGAAAAAATAAATATTTTTAAATCAAAATAAATTTTGTTATTTTTTTTTAAATATTTGCAATGTATATATCAGACATTCTCATCATTATGTCTGGTTCTATAAAGTATGTTTGGCGCCTAGTTTATTTATGCCTTTAGGATGTCTAGAAAATAAATATTTTCAATTTGAAATATTTTATTTCTTAATCATTGCAAATGAGGATAGGGCAAGTCTGCCATAAGGGCCAATTTCTCCCATTACTTGATCTAGGAGTTCCTTGTCTTCTGCATTGGGTTCAAAATTACGAAGATACAGAGTTAAACTTTGTTAGTTGTAAACTGAAATTTTGTCGGCTATTCAGTGATGGTTATAAAGTTAAAAAATGAGAATAGGGAGCTAAACTGTCAATGAAATTACTCAGGTTCGTTTCCCAGCGATATCTGGTCAATATAAATTCCGTGGACGACTCGCACCGTTTACATTACGAACGTAAAATATCCTCAATGGTAGATAAATCATGGGTTAGAGTCCGCTTGCTGTGAGGCTAACCAAAGGAGGTTTTCGTGGTTTTGTTCTCCATGTAATGCAAATGCAGATTAGTTCCATCAAAAAGTCCCCCATAATGACAAATTTCTCCCAATACTTGATTCTGGAGTTGCCTTGTCCTCTAGATTAGGTTCAAAATTACAAGGGTATGGATTTGAGTATAAGTAGTCGTAAACTCAAAATTGGATCAGCTGTTCAACAATGGTTATAAAATAAAAAGTTAAGATAGGATATACTTTGTGCTACATATGAATAAACTAAGACAATTTGAATAAAGGTTCAGGAATGAACATACTATAGTTTCAATTCTATAAAGGAGATAAAATAAACTTTCAAAACCCAAAATATGTATTATTATTTTGTGTTTAGACTGAAAGGGAGATTCTTGTTTATAGAACCAAAGCTATAGTATGCTCATTTCTATTCCATTATTTGTGCTTTATTCATAGTGTTTTATTTTATTCTTAATATATATAAAACTGATTGATATGTGCTAAGTTTAAATCTTAATTATTACTTCGTGAACAAGTGAGTCATTAAACAGAAAAGTAAAATAAGTATTTATTAAAATATCCTTTTTATGCTATAATAACTGACTATTAGTGTAAGAATGAAATGTGAAATCTGCAATTTTCCAGAACAGGATCCAAGTACCTGAAAAAAAATATTGAAGAGTGAAAGATAACATTTTTATTCATTAAAAATACCTATTTTAATATAATTTTAGATTTTTATGTGTTTTAATGCTCACCCCTATTTATTAATTTAAATATTCTTATGATATCAAATAAAATATTCTAAAAACTCTTAAAAGAGAATTTTTTTTTTTTGGTGAGAAGGAAACATTTCTTTCATTACAATATATTGTTTATTCTTATCTCGCCCCGCCCTATTTTAGGGCATACGAGAGTTGATGAATACACAAATGATACCTTAAAAATACATAAATCTCTAAAAGTTACATCAACAGTGAATATAAAAATCTGAATATCTAAAATAATGTTCAGTACAATTCTATAAAACAAGTTAAAACCAAATAAAATAATAAAGTAGTAAAAAGGTTAAAAAAAAAAAATAAAAAAACACAAAATCACCCAAAAACCAATAAATGTTAAAACTTTGCAGGAACATGCAAAACAGTGATAAAATATAGAAGTTAAAATTCGATAAAGAGGTTAAAAGGCAGAACAAGTTAAGAATCAAAACAATCAGTTAAAAGTTGATAAAAACAATGCTTGTTAAATTAAAAATTTATAAAAACAATACAAGTTAAAACGTAGAGAAGTTTAAAATGAAATTAGATAGATACACAAGACACCAGCAATAGTGTTCGCAGGCTCCGAGCATAGTTAAATGTGGTTCAGAGTGTCCTCCAATGTTACCTTTATAATTTGTTTAACTATGTTTCTACAGACCAACTTAGCAAAGCATTGGTGCAAATTTTGTCCTGCAAAATGGTTTCCACGGAGTGTCTGGAAGTGTGGGCAGTTCAAGATCAAGTGTTCGATTGTCTGATTGTCCCCACAGTAGGTACAATTTGGGTTTTTATTGAAAAGTCTATTTTGGTATTCTCCAAACACCCCGTGTCCAGTAAGTAATTGGTTTAGGTAAAAGTTGGCCTGTAGTCGTTTGGTGGAAGGGTCTTTAAAAAAAATATAGGTTTGTCGACCTCTCTCGGAGCTCTGCCATTCTGTTTTCCATCTATTTAGGTTGTTGGACTTGATGATTGTTTTGATCTGGGCCTTGGAACTTGGGACCTCTAAATTGATTTGGCTGAGACTGACGGCTTCCTTGGCTGCCTGATCCGCCTGATTACAATATATAAAAATCATATTTTATATGGTGAGGTTGTATTGTAATGGGCAACTTAGAAAATTAAAACTGCCAATGTTATCTTGTGAGAGCTGGTATTAATGAAATAAAATAAACTTTGCAATTTCAAAAAAAATACAATACCTATATAATAATTAAAATTACAAATCCATACCATCCTCCAACGCTCAGATAAATAGGTAAAAATTTCAAAGTATTTTTGAAAATTGTACAAATGTATTAGCTATCAAAATAAAAGCAAAATTTGAAGACACTTGTTTTCAGAAAATGGACCTTAAACTTATAAGAAAAGAATAGTCGAACCTGTAAAACAATTGTATCCGTTGGATAAAAGGTATGTATATTTAGAGAGAGAGAACTTTTGTGTCTGATTTAGTTACTCAAACTATCGTCTGCACTAATTAATTAGCATATTTCAACTCCCCTCTCAAACCATGAAGATTAAGTCCTAAAACAAGATCGGATCATTAGATCAAAAGTTATTCAAGGTGGTCCGTTTATTTTTTTTTCCTCACTGTATATATTATCATTTTACTATCTTTTAAAAAATATATCCTCTTTTTCTTGTTGCATTTTTACAATTATTTCCATAATGTTTTTTTTATTTATTTTACTTATTTAACTGTATTTTAACAGATGTAAATTTACTATTCATTCTACTGATTTATAACCAAATGAAATAAGACTCTGCATATTCTAATTTTTTGTTGCCTTGGGTATATCATCTCAAATTTAAGTCCTTTTTTGAAAATTTCTGCTTACTACCATGCATATAATATTTTTCATCAGTCACAATAAAGTACTTTTCATTGCTAAACATAATCTGTGAGTCTGAGTACTCGATTATAAACTTAAGTTAAATTTGAGTACTGCATTGAAAAATTATTTTAGTGACAGTGCAAGCTTATTCTAATTAGATTTACTCAAAGAAGACATTTTTAAAGTTGTCACAACTTGTATTTTTTTTTTAAATAAAAAAACTGAATAATGTAATATGACAACATATGAGTCATTACATAAGATATAATTTATTAAAAACTTCGTCTTAAAAAAATATGAAGATGTTAATAAAAGTCGACAAGTTTCAGTGCTCAAAAATGGACGCTCATTTTCAAGACTTGACAGACGTGAGATTTTTTTTTTGTTGTCATAAACATCTGGTGAGTCTTTAGAATTGGCGTCTATTTTTGAGCTCTTGAAATTTGTGGACTTTATTGCCATATTCATATTTTTTGAAGCCAAAGAAATTTTCAATCAAGTATATCTTGATAAAGATTTCAGTTTCTTGGGATTATTTATTTAATATGAGTCATTATTTTTGAAACTGGAATAAGTCCATTTGGAGCTAAAACGTAGTTAATTTTGTGCGATTTTAATAAATATTGTTGCATTTTGATGTTTCATAAAATTATCTTATAAAAACATCACCCAAATGATTAATCTTTGCCAATATTTTTAAATTTATTTAATCACTAAAGTCAAAAAAATAAAAGATGAATGTATTCCTCTTTCAAAAATAATGGTATTTATGCAAGATTTTGTTAAGTGTTAAATTAATGAATAAAAGAATATTTATTTTATCGTTACTAAATTTATAATTCTTCCGTTAAGAAAACGACGCATTAAATATATGCTTTTTTTAATCTTCATTAATTCTTTATAGTGTGTCAGACATTTGTAACCTAAACAAAAAGATTAAATTGTAGTAGAAAATCAAGTTATATTTTGAAAACACCTAACTTTTCTGATATAAAAGTATCTGCAATACTTTATAAAACATGCAGCAAAGTATATTTCGATTGAAAAATATGTTTTTGAAACAGCTTTTAAAGGTTTTTACACATTCTAAAGCTGATTTACTAACAATAAAATATCACAACATATTTACTATTAAGCTTTTATGTTTTCTTTTTTAAAAAATCCTATAACAGAATTACAAAATTTGATAGCTAAACTGTTTATTTTTTTTTTTTAATTCTCTAACACTTACTGTTGTTGGATCAGCTATCAGGTCTAAAGATTTAAACACTTTGCTAGTATCGTTGCATTCAGCAGTGTAGTTTTTAGGTATAAATTGCTCCGTGTACGCCATGAATTTGGAGAGAGAGCAGAATTCTCCGCATATGTCAAAATGGATTATGTAGGGTGGCTCTACATGTATTTCTGGACTTGTTGAATTGAAATAAAGCCATCGTATAGTGTAATCATCTTCTTCTTTCCACAATTCGAGAACCATCGTTGAAGCTGGTGGAGGTTCACGCCAATTATAGCGATTTAAGATCATCAAGGTCTGAGCAATGTAGCTACCATGCTGAAATATTGAAAGATTAATAAATTATTCTGAGATTCAATTTATTAATATCTTCTTATTTTTGAAGATAGTTTTTAAGCTTTAATCGTTTTCATGATCGATATGCCTTGTATAAGTTTTTAAACATGTGTTTATAATGTTTCATGACGAAGTTGAGTTCTGGTTTGTGAACTCCTATGTCTCTTCGTGATTTGAATTTATCAAGTGTTCTAAAAATGACCAATTTGAAAAGTCACTGAATGAGACAAAAATTTATGGTTACCTAAGTTTCACTAAGGGAACCAATTTATTTATTCTAACCAAGTTTTAAAAAATAGTTTAAATGTTCGTTAAGAGATGGCGCTGAAAACTTTAAAAGAACCACTATTAACTGCCGGAAAACAAGTTTAAATGACGCCTTTTCAAATATTTAAAAGAATAAATCTTAGGTTTTTGAAACAAAACGCAAGAAACCGTTTATTTCTATTTCTGTATGTTTTTCTGAAATGCACAAGGCGAATGGCACAGAAACTCTTTAACTGTTTAAGTTTGCCTTATAAGTAAAGTGATTTTCGTTGCAATGATTAAGGTTCAACTGATTCTATTACGTAACAAATTCTGCTTTGTGTATTTTTGAGAAAGTAAAAACCTCTTCTCACTTTTCTGAACCGATTTTTGTATATACAGGGTGTTCCAAAATTCTCTTTACAACTTCAAAAATTCATAACTTCGAAAATAAACAAGGTATTTATATTCTGTCTTTTGCATGTATTACTGCAACTAATAAAGTTTTGTTTAGTACACTTTAACATGCGCACCATTGGTGGTCCTAAGCACTTCCAGTCTGTAATCAATTTCAAGCCAGGTGATGTAAAGATAATTTTGGAACACCATGTATATTCAGAACAAAGATAAGACCTTTTTATGATTGATTGATTTGTTCATTTACGTCGTACTAGAGCTGCACAATGGGCTATTGGCGACTGTCTGGGAAACATCCCTGAGGATGATCCGAAGACATGCCATCACAATTTTGATCCTCCGCAGAGGGGATGGCACCCCCGCTTCGGTAGCCCGACGACCTGCGCGAAGTCGAGCACTTTACGGTAGAACAGTTTAACGAGGACCAATACCGCACTCCCTCGGTCCCTACGCAGACTGATCCAAGTGGTCACCCATCCGCACACTGACCGCAACCAGTGATGCTTGACTTCGGTGATCTGCTGGGAACCGTGTCTTAACGATCAGTCCACTGCGGGACGACCTTTTTATGACGAAATATTTATGTTTTGGCTTTAAGCTCGGTTAACAGTTAACTTAGCTACGTCACAAAATAAAAGAGTGACTAGTTGTTCCCTCCTAATCATTCAAGTCATTTGGAATATCCGACAAGTACTACCCTAAGCAATTTGGTAACAATGTATCTCGTTATCATAATAATTAATAAAAGATAGGGTGATTATGAGCATTCCATCTTTTGTTGTGAGAGATAGGGGTTATATCTAATAAAGTCGTTTCCTCTTTTCTTTTCCGTTTTATGAATTTTGTAAAATACTAAAATGGAAATTATTTTAAAAAAGAAAAATCTTGTCGAATTATTAATAGATATTTTTGTAACTTGTTCAATAAATTTGTTTAGTGTTTATATTTTATAACGAGTCAAATTTTAAAACACAAAATGATGCAGTACCGCTACGTAATTTTGCCATAGATAAGTTATCATAATAAAACTACACCATTATAAATGATGTAAAAAAATATTGAAATTATTTTAAAAAAGAACAATCTTGTCGAATTATTAATAGATATTTTTGTAACTTTTGCAATAAATTTGTTTAGTGTTTATATTTTATAACGAGTCAAATTTTAGAACGCAAAATGATGCAGTACCGCTACGTAATTTTGCCATAGATACGTCATCATAATAAAACTACACCATTACAAATGATGTAAAAAAAATATTGAAGCAGCTAAGCGAGTCAGCTAATCGTTGACTGTTCAAGATTATAACAACAGTCTGACTTCAAACCAATCACCATACTCAGCCAAAGATTTAAGATATTTGCGTTAGCTTGTTGTAACAATGCTTCAAAAATTTTGGGAAATAAAATTACTTTCTTGCTTTATATCTTATCTTATAACCGTCGTTGAACAGCCAACGCAATTTTTGGTATTACGGCTACTAATGTTCAACTCCGTAGAACCCAATCCAGAAGACAAGGGAACTGCTTGATCAATTATTGGGAGAAATGTTGCCTTCATGGAGGACTTTTTGATGAAACTAACCCGCATTTGCGTTACATGCAGAGGTAAACCTCCCATTGTTAGCTAGACAGCAAGGGGGCTCTAACCATGATCCGTCTACCACTAAGGGTATTTTACGTCTTTCCTGCTTTATAACCATTACTGTGATATTATATAACTATTACGGTTAAACCGGTGGTCGTTTAGAAAACTTAACTACTGATAAATATAAAATTTAGCTCCACGTATAAGAAAGTTGACTACCCCTGAGCTAATGGATTCTACCATACATGAATAGCAGCAAAACTTAAAGAAATTTCTGTTTAAATTCGAATATTTATTATGAAACTTACCGCAGAATAAATATAAACACGCTTTTCTCTGTTCATTTTTATTCTGTCTTTCATTTTTTCAACCATAAATCCTATCAAAGGTCCTGTTGATAAGAAAATAAGTTACATGTACCACATTACTATGTAATTATAGAAAATCATGCTGTACAGAAATGTAAAGGAAAAAGAGAAGAAATTGTTTAACCGTTCTATTCTTCGCCATTTTTTTGAAAACAAAATATCACGTCTCTATAAGTAAAATCTTGCTTCTCGGAAAAAGAACTATTATGTTCTGACTGCATAAATATTTCTTACAGGAAAAATATAAGCAATGAAATTAGTTACAAACATTATTTTAAACAAAAATACAACTTAAAGACTGTAGATAATACTAAAAGACAATTCTCTGAAAATAACACTGTGAATTAAGTTTTTTGTTGCATTCATAGAAATAATTGATCTTGCCTAATTCGAGTGTAGGTATATAAAATTAGAAATTACTTTTGCTTCTAAAACTATAGTATTTTTTATGACATTTATAGTCTATTTTTGTACGTTTACAAACGTTACAAATAATAGAAGGTCACGTAAATATAAAGACAAACTTCTAGCGATGTTAGGGCACATCATCAGGGTTAAAATTCCATAGAAACCTATGTCAGGAAATGACGATGTACGCGGCCAGGGACACATCTCTATAATAGGCATATTTAGAAGCAGCGAAGAAACTGTTTAAAATAGGAAAGCACCCCTATCGGCGTATGACAAAATTTCTGGGTATGAGTTATCCACATTTATATTAATAAGATCCTGTTCTAATTACATGTTTTCTTAACATGTTTATAGGACTTAGTTAAATTGACACAACTGAAACTAGCCGAATCAATAGAATATAAACCTATTGTGAGGAGTTCTTGTAAAGTAATTTTTTTTTTATTTTTATGAAAAAATGATTTTCGATCCTTTTATATAGAGATAAGTGCAGACAAAAAATTTTATTATTTAAGCTGATCTATGGACATTAGTGTTATAGAGCAATAACGGGGCAAAAATTATCAATATATATATATATATATATATATATATATATATATATANGGCCACACTACGAATTTACAATGTTAATGCTTACAAAGCGTTACATATGTATATATATATATATATGGTGTTATTTTTTATGAATTATCTTACCTATACGATACCTGAGTAATTCCTTTGTTCCATAGTGAAAATAATAATTGAGCGCTGTTTGAATTTGCAGCTCTTTCCAGTATTTATAAGCCCAATCAGGAATAGTTAAATTGTATTTTTTCTAAAAGAAATAAAACATTTTTAGTTTCAAATAAGGTAGCCAGATAATTTTATATGTTAACATGGTTTTTCGAAGTTCTTTCGTCAAGGAAAATAAGAAAAATCCATAGTTTAAGTGCCTTACACTTGAAGCAAAACTGCACCTTTAAACTATATATGCTATCTTGCCCTAAAGAACGGTCTAGGCTTTAGAACAGAGAAATAATATTATATATTTAAAAAGTTCCTAAACTTTTTTGAAAATTGCCAAATTGGTAACATTTTTCCACCTGGATGAAAATTATCAAAATCAATGCCTTAATCTCATTTTTTAGAAATTTTTATAAGCTCAGATAATGAAGCAGTGAAGTAAGTTTTTAAATATTAAAAAATTTTGACCACAAACGCTTTTCCATTTCTCAGAACTGTGGCTTTCCTCCATTTTAAATTTCGCACCTTTTTTTTAAAAAAACTTGACTTAGTAGTAACGAGTAACTGTTACAAACTCACAGCAGTTATGCAAATAGACTATTATTCGCAAAAGCATATTATTGAAAATGTATATCGAATATAGCATATTGCATGCATATTTAATGTAGGATATTTCATATATATTGAAAATGGCATATTAATATATATATTAATAATGTGCATATATGTATAGAATATCGCATATTATCCGCTCTGCTACTACAGAGCTTGGAAAAACAGTCTTTAGATAATATGCGTTTGCATAATTACCGAAAATATCAGTACAGTTTTATTTTCTTTCTCAAATTTTACCTACATTTTATCATTTTATTTTTATACTATATATTCTAATGATTTTAATTGATTTTTAATTTGAATTTTATTGGTTTATTTATTTACCTCGCAAGCAAACGTTTTCCCCAAATCATTTGCTAAATGCCAATCGTCAATTACTCTTCCAGACATCGTAGACCAAAATTTATAGATACCCTATAAGGAAAAAACAATAGTTCATTATATTTCTGCTTGTTTTTTTCAATAATGACAAACCGTTAATGAATCATAAATGAAATTTGACAATTCACACTTCAAACCTAGCTCTCGTGTCATTGGCTAATTTCGAATTCTTCAAAGCCTTGAACTCCTTCTCAAGTCTTTCGCATTTGCTCCTTGTCAATATATTCTAAAATAAATTTTTTAAAAAAATCATTAGATATGTTATTGAAACTGCATTTTTAAAAATGAAAAAAATGAAACAATTAATAAACAGTGATAAAAAATAAATAAATGAAATAAAATAAAATATAAATTGCACACCCTGAATATTTTTTAATCCAATAATCAGGACTCAATCTTAATGGTTTAAGTAAATTAATTAGTAATGCATGTTAATTCATTAGTGCAGGAGATATTTTAAGCTAAGAAATCAGACTCAAAAACGTATTTTCTCTGGGTATAAACACACTTTTTTCAGACGGATTTGGAACCCTTATCCTGATAATATGAGTAGTAGCCGCAATCTGGAAAACATGGTCCCAATAGCTTGGTCGGCAGAGCGGTTCAAAATTTTTGACCCTTTAATGATTTTGCAAATTTGATTGGATCTCGAGATTTTTTTAAGCGAAATGAAAAAATTTTGCACATAATTATACAATTCATTTTATAATCTTGGGGGAGGGGGGATCATTCTAACTAAAATTTAAAATTTTCATAAGTAAAGATTACTTTTTAAAAGTGATCACCAATACCATAATACTTAAACAATCTACTATTTCATACAATTTTGTAATATTAGACGTTGACATTCATGTATTTAATGCAGGTACACCAGTTTCCTCATATAGTATCTACATCGATTTAAAAATAAATTTGCATAAAACTTTAAAATTACTTCATCTTGCTTTTTTTTTAAAAATGGAAAACATATCCTCATTTTGAACTAAAAATTATTACGTACGTTATATTTACCAGAATTCTTGCTGATAATGGGTTGCCAGAGTAATTCATTGGTAAACTGAAACTCTTCCTTTGGAGAATATAAACCAGCAAGGAAGGAGTAAGCGCCATGTTGTGTCCTCGAAGATTCTGCACTCACAAGTTCAACCTAATACGAAGATTTAAAAATTACTCCTCAGAACTAAGTTAAAAGGAACCAAGTCTGTTAAGAAAGAAAAAAAATGCGATATTTCATACAGAAGCAGCCAACTGATTCTTTTTTATCTGCTATAGCGAACAAAGTGAAAAGATTTTTTAATGAAATGGTGGTATAATTCATGTAATCCTGTATCTAGGTCATTTATTGTCATTTTCTGTCTGACTAAAAGTATCCGGATACCTACCTGAAGAAGTGGAGCTTATCATGGTGTAGGAGTTTTTTCGTGGTTTAAGCCTGGGTCCCTTAATTCCTGAGGTTGGAAATATGAGTTTTGAGATGTATGTGGACAATCTGGATAATGTTGCTCTCTCAACTGTTATGAAAATAATTTGGGGATCCAGCTGGATAACATTCACGCTTTGAGATTTGCATAGACATGATTTGGCGAAATGGCTATTCAGAAACTGGAATAGCCTTCTTAGAGCCCCAACCCAGGGAATACTCATAGGACGAATTAGAATACCGATTATGTAGCCAGCAAAATTGACTATTCAAACTCCAACTCTCTCTTCAGCTGTGATTGGCCCCTAGAAGCCAATTCCATGGAAATTTATCAAAAACCAAGTATCTTCTGACGTATGTAGGCTGTCATCGATGCAAAAGGGGTCAACATCATATTAATATATGTATCAAAACTCTCCAAGTTAGTAGAACTGGGTGCTTGGATACTTTTAGCTAGATAATATTTATTTCTCTCAAGTTTTGTTATCATCAAACTATGTGTAGCCGCGGGTTTGTGTTATCCAGTATGATTTTGAAGAATGTCTCATGGCTCTTAGTGTTTTTCAAAGGCTTAAATGATTTGTAATTTTTATCATCCATTGCAATATTTTATTTGAAAAAAAATTTTTTTTTGTGTTTTCGAAAATAAACGATTGAAAAATTATCAAAGCATTGTTTCGTTTTGCTTGAGGGGGAGAGATAAGTAAAGAGCAAATACGATAGGATCTTCAATAAATAAATAGAATCATCATTTAAATTACCATTTAAATGATAATTCATCATTTATCATTTTTATTAAATGATAATTTATCATTTGAATTATTATTTAAATTATAAAATTTTATTGCTATTATTTGCCATAATATGAATTTACATATTAACTAATTGATAAAATACATAACACGTGTTTATAGAGTAGCTATTAAAAGATTTAAAGCTGTGCTTTGTTCATGAAGTCGTATCGTTAATAAGTCTATTGAAAGGCGAAACTATAAGAAAACGGTTGGTTTCATCATTTTATGACGAAAAAAAAACTGCTTTGATTTTAAATTATGCTATTTTGTGGTTTGGTTTAAAAAAAAAAAAGCAGGTATCCCAATAGAATAGCAAAGGTATTTAGGAGGAGGGGGATAATGTTGATGACATGAGTGTGATCAGGAAAACCTTTTAGTAAATTATTTTTAATTGAAGAATTCAACGAACATGAAGATCTCTTCCAAGCCAATCTATTTTTCAGTTAACCAATCTAATATTTCCGCTTTTGCTGAAGCAATACACTTAAACAAAAGGCAAAAACGATTGCAAAAGAGTCATGGTGGGCAAAGAACAGGATCTTCTGTCCCTAGTGGGTCTTGAAATCTAAGATTTCTTTATGCATATTGATATGCTTGCATACCTTTGAGAAATAAACCGGAGAACATTTAATAATTTAATTTGTTTACCTCCTTGGGATTTGTAGTTATGAAATCTTTATATCTGTCCTGAAGATGTCTTCCAAGTCGATAATGTTGTACTCGGCCCAGCTGCAAAAGAATTAATAACCACGGGAGATTAGTTCACTACAATAAATAAATTGTTTAATAACTCAGATAAGGTTGAGTAATATTTTTAATAATTATGATTATTTTTATAGTTTATAATTATTTTACAGTTTTCCCTTTCTATCATTTAGCCGACTCCTTCGTTAGGCCACCTTCATTATATTTTAGATACTAACTGCATAGATTTTGACTGTTTACAATACTTTATGAACTTACGAAATCGCTTTGTTGATCGCAAGTTAATTCACTTTTAGAAAATGTTTCTGTTCAAGATAGGTTCTAATTTTGTACTTTTCCTCTATTTCTTCAATGTGAACATATGGATATCATCAGTGAAACGTTGCTAGTTTTTATTTGTTAAATGTAAATGACTGTTAATTAAAACTGCGTTCAATCAAAGTCAGCAATATTATCAATGGTTGTATAAACTTATTATAACAGAATTTCTAGGCATAATATATACCGACTGCAAGTTGCCTTCAATGAGCCAGCCAGAGTAAATATGAATGGACTTGTTCAATTCTAACATATCAAGGCTAATAATTTTGTTGGCTAACATATCAAGGCTAATACAACAAAATGCCGTTGTATTTAAAATATATCAGGAGGAATTTATTTATAATTAGATGGCAATCTGCCTTCTTGATGAACATGGTTCATCATTTTGTATTGAAATACATTTTCTGTGGTTTGTGTTAATTTTTACTCGCGATTGTTTCAAACATTTTACCGACTTATATAAGGGTGATATCTATATACACATTCTTAGATACTTTTTGACTCAATGGAAGTTTACCGGTTTCCTACAATGGGCACTTATTTTTTTTACCCCATATTTATTTAACATTTTGTAATTGTAACATCGGCGTTTAGATATGCATAGCATGGAAAGTGATAATTGAATTAACATGTACAAAACAATAAAATTTCCAAACTTCACGATTTTGACTTTTTCACTTACGTATTCAATCGGTAGCAGCCTGCTTCTACATTCTTGATTAACATTGTGAGCATGCTAATTTTGTCTGCTCTCTGACATTTTGAATTTAAAAAGACTATTCAAATCATCCACCTTCACTAGAAGTACCATATTCATGTCCATATTTTTTAAAATTTATCATGTATTTGTAATTACATACCCGCGTCAAGGTTCCCAAGCCTTCCTTCCAGAAAGTTTCATTGTTTGGATCTGTAGGGTATAGCATAAAAGGTGCTCGATGTCCGTGCCTGAAGAGCTGCAAAAAATCTTTGATATTTCATTCCGTAATTGCAAAGCAAAGACTCAAAATATTCATTATCGGCTAATCTGAATCTTTGATATTTATCTTAAAATTAAGGATACTAATCCTCCAAAGCTTGACGAAGTAAGATCAGGCCTAAACGACCATTAACTCGAAAAAAATCAATGACTTTGAAGGGATTTGTATAAATTCCCCCCCCCCTCCCTAGTGAGGCCCAAACAGTCTAATTTGTGTTTTTGGTAAAAGCGTCTTGATGGTGGCATTTTATGCAGATGGCAAAGATTTTCACACCATTTTTGAAAGAGACTAAAGAAAGCGATGACCATTAAACTAAATTTTACGCACTTTACTGTGTCCACTAGTTACCGTGTGAGGGCATTCTGATAGCCTCTGTAGCAAACCAGGTTTAAGAGTCCAACCCAGCTTTTTACCTAAATACTAGTGATGGACTGGAGGCACCAACCATTCTGTCTTGATTTGAGCTTTCGTCATAGAAAATAATTCCTGATTGTTTAAATTATTGGTATAAAAAGTTTAATTAAAAATAAAGGAAAAAATAAAATAAGTATAAGTTATTGACGCGCAGTTCTTTTTCAATTATAAAATTTTTTATTTACTTTTTTAGGACCTTACTAATTCAAATGTACTAAAGATATTATTATTCTAATAGTATTAGCCAGGTACTAAATATAAAAGTTTTCATAACTTTTAATAATAGAAAAAGAAATTCTATTTCCAACGGGATTCAAGAATGTAACTCGATTCATTATGGTATTTTTGGCTCACCATTATCCCTCTTACATATAAGGTATTTTGTAATAACCATCCATAATATATTGGTTTGGAATCCTTGTCAAAAATGTTGTAAAAAACACATTACGGAACACATATTAATATTCAATTGAGAAAGAAATGAAGACAATATGGAAATTTCTCGAATCATTGGTTCATAATACAGATGAAGCTCTTTAAAACCAATTTAATTGCCAGGTGTGAAACTTGGAGACCTATAATAAATAATTGTTTTTCAACTCCTCTTGGTTTCTACCAACAATAAAAGCAGTCTTCATGTTTTTAGTACTAACTTCCTCAGTAGTGATAAGTTAGATATGAGAGCGTTTTTATTTCCTCTTTACTTAAATATTTATTTACAATCCACGACATCTAACGCCCGTTTTTTTTCTATGGATTCTAAAAATGTATAATAATAGTGGTTAGTACAGTCCATTCAAAATACAAAAAAGACTAAATTTTTGCAAAATATTTGCTGTTAATATTTTCAAAAAAATCCGTTAAAATTTTATGAAACGTTAAAGTGAAAGTAAAAAAAAAAAAATTAGGTCAATTGCCTTGTCATTTTGATATAATTTTCCTAGAGATTTTAATCACTAGGTATTTTTTCGAAACGAATAAGGTCATTTGGTCAACACTCGGTTGCCCGACAACTCAAATGTCTGATTCCGTTTTTCCAGACATTTCATTTGCCCGACAGGTACGTTTGCCTGAAAACTCTTTTTCCCGACATGAACATTTGTCCGACAATTTATTTTCCCGACGGGTATGTTGGCTGGCATGTAAAGGAAATGAATATAATATTCTTTGTTGGCAAATTTGTTGACAACTTACGGCAGGAAAGAGGAAGCGGCATTTAATGACTATTTAAATAGTAACTGTTTAAGCTGTAAATCTCGCCCTCTGCTTAAGAACTTGGGACCTTCAAGAATTATATTTAGTTATGAGCAGCAATAAATGCTTTTTTTTTTTAAATACTTTTTTTTTTTAAAATTATCTATATTTTTAAATTTATCTATATTTTTTAAATTTTATTTATTTATTTTTTTTATTCTTTTTTATTCTTTTAATTTCTTTTTTCTTTTTTAATTTTTTTATTCCTTTTGTTTTATAATTTATTTTTTCATTCTTTTGTGTTTCAATTTTTCACTGTGTTTTATTATTGTGTTTTTTTTCCTTTCCTAAAATTTTTTTTTCTTGTTTTTTAAAAAAATTTGTTTGCTTTTCGAGAAAATGAGCTGTAGAGCAAACATACCTGTTGAGCAACGGAATGTAGGGAAAATTATTATCGTATTAAAAAACACATGACTAAAAAAAAAGAAAGGAAAAAAAATCGCATTTCAGAGTAAAAGGAAAATTGAGGTCATACCACTCAACTTCAAACCTAAACTTAGATATATGATATTAAACCATCCAACATCAAAAAATCAACATTAAAATTTACAAATTAAAAAAAAAAAATGAATATTTAAAAAATAGAAAAAAAAGTGTCATCGTATTTTTGGCATACCATTTCCATTAGAAATTTGCAGTTATAACAACGTAAGGAAAAAAACAAGTTCATTTAAATTTTAATACTTCAATATTACTCTTTTAACACTTCAATATTATTCTTTCAACACTCCAAAATTACTCTTTTAACACTTCAATATTACTCTTTTAACACTTCAATATTACTCTTTTAACACTTCAATATTGCTCTTTTAACACTTCAATATTACTCTTTTTACACTTCAATATTACTCTTTTAACACTTCAAAATTACTCTTTTAACACTTCAAAATTACTCTTTTAACACTTCAATATTACTCTTTTAATTTACTATAATTAATATCAGATTATATATTAATTACAATTACTCACCATCTGTAAAAGGAGTAATTCTCTTTTGGTACCATTTTTATGTATGGTGGCAGCTGATGGGTTTAAGTAAACTGTTAATTGGCGCGAGGCAAAATATGATAATGGAGTTTTAAACTGTAAATAATCTCTGGCTATGAAAAACAATACAAGAGCTCCAAATATGCACAGCAAAAAAGTTCGCAGCATAGGACGTGGAATCACCGCCATCTTGAGTAAAAAGAGGGCATAGGGAAGAAATGATATAAATTATAGTATTAGTTTGACACTGTTAGGCGATGTATTTGAACAGCTGGCTAGAAGTATCTAGGTGCACTAAAATTTTAATTAAATGTATTTAAGAAACGCATTTGAGCATGAAACAGGATATTTTTTTTCCTGTTCAAATAATGCTCCCCTTTTTCTTCATCTCTAACCAAGTCGAATTTTAAAAAGACTTTCAGCATTTGTGTTGTTTTCTGAGACACCTAACCTTGCTTATTATCATTTCTTCTTCTTTTTTATAATAACAGAATGTTTTGTTGACAAATTTAATTTACACAATTTTATTTTCATAATTCTATAATGCTGCAATATTCGTACTATGGGTCATTTTATATGATTTTTAGAACCGATGTTTTTTTGATATATTTTTTCTGACGCTCTATTTACAAGCTAAAATATATTTTGGCACTTTTCAATTATAAACAAGAATATGATAGTTACTAAAAAAATCCGTTTTATTATCGGAATTATATTTGTATTGAAATAAAATCCTAAGAAATTAGCTTGGAACTTTTTTTTTTCATTCTCATTCGAAAATTTATCAATAATTGATTTTGTAAAATAAATACATTTCGATAATGAGCAAATGTTTTTAGATCTGATCTAAATAACTGTAAATAAGTGCGAATTAGAAAAATTTTTTGGAAGTGAGCCGTGTTTGTAAAATTTTACCGTTAACACAGAAAAGGCATCGTTATTTCATGCTATATTTCATTACCATAAATTATTAAAATGCTAAATATAATATTTTCCACTTATTTTGGCCTAAATTAATACAAAAAAAGCATGAAAAAATTTATTTAATAATAATTTTGCATCAAATCGCAAGATTCCAGAACTCCAAATTTCAAGCAGCCTTTGAAATTGAGATAAATATTTAAAAAGTAGCTATTGAGGGGGTAAAAACTGACATAACAGTAAATTTTTAATTCTATATAATAAATTATACTTTTAAGAATCAATTAAAAATGCCATTCTGAAGATTACATTTTATTTCATTTTTTAATAACCGGTGTCGAACAGCGAGTTTGCTCTATACTCCATACGTACAAACTTAGAATGATATCTTTAACTTATAAAATACAGAAATTATTTCTGAGCCTTATAATAAAATAAATCACAGTTCATGCTTTTTAAGACTCATTGTAAATGATAATTGAAAATAAAATTTTATTTCATTGATTACGGATAGATGAAAGGTTTTTAAAAGAAAAAGCAGAAAAATGGTTTATATCAAAAGCAGTTTATATCAATTATTTATGTTTAAAGTTTTTTAAAGCTTTCAGTTTACATTTACGAACGATTGTGTTTTTCAAGTTATAACTTAGAAATACCGTAAATTCAAAGATGCTTTTAAGTTTGTCAAAATCATGGCTATCTTATGCAGGCTTAGTGCAAAATTGGTTGCTATTTATTGAGACTCATTTTTCACTTTTAAAAGATCCTCAGATTTAAATAATCCGTTTTTTACATATTGATTATAATTAATATTTCCATGCTTACAATCAGCCGAGCTCGTTTATTATGAGCTCTGATTTATAACGAGTTTTGGGGTTTGTGGAAATTTTTAACAAGATGTCAGCTTTATGTTATTAAACCTTCATAAAACAATGTTACTTAAAGCATTACTCAGATTTAACAAAGTATTTACCTTTTCCCATACTTTTTAAAACGTTAAAAAAAATTATGTACAGAATGTTTCTTTGGCAATTAAAATTATTCCCCCCCCCCAAAAAAAAACAATTCAAATCAAAATTAAAAATCAAAAATTTAAAATCAAATTCAAATTTGTTTTTAAAGAAAGAGGTATATTTATTGAGAGAAAGTATGTTTTTGTGTCTGATTTAGTTTCAGTTACTTGATTTTTTAGCACTAATTCATTAGCATGCTTGCCGTCAACCCTTTCAAATATTAGGATTTTCACCGCAGGGGAAAAGTAAAGTAAAAACTAACAGAATGGGACAAAATTTACCGTATTTTCTGGCTTTATGAGAATAAAAAGTTGAGTAAATTCTACCGTCATAACTCTTTGGTAATATATCTCATAAAATATGTTTTTTATTATCATATTATTTGGAAGTAAATTTGATAATTTTGCATTATTTTTTAAAGCGATAGATAATTTTAATCTAAATATAATTTGAAATAACGCTATTTGATAACCTCTACTTATGTAAGTTGCGAAGATAGCATTTACTAATCTTTAAACCTGTAAAAAAAAGTATTGTAAATATATATGAAATTTATGATGATAAAAAAAATTATGTATTTAAAATATATTTTAAATAAATACATAATGGAAACGAGAGACAAATTTTTAGAAGCAAAGAAATATTTTTGGTATCGTGCTGCCCTCTATTTGAAAAACAGTATACTATAAAAGGAATCAACAAAAAGTGGTGCGCTCATTCCCTTGTTAAAATCTAATGAATGAAAGGAATGAAAGAACACTTCGCTAGAATATTTGGGTATTAGTTTAGTATAAGCTAATCGCATTGGAAGAAAAAACTGAATTAACTTTGATAAATGCATTAAACATAACATAGGCGTAGCCTGAACGAAATTAATGGGGTGGGGGCACAAAGTTTAAAGTTTTCCTTTCTTGGAAGATGGTTTACTCAAGAAGGATATATATATGTTCAAAATGAAGATGAAACAAAGAAAAATTATAGACATATTAAAAAAAAAGAAAGGGAGGGGGAAATAATAAGTAAAAAAATAACAAACACAGATAAAAAAAAAAAAATTAAAAAAAAATTTTTTTTTTCATCAGCCCACACGATTATATCCGCAAAACAGAGTGCTTTCTGATATTGTATCAATAAAGCCAAAGCAAAATATATTAATACAATAGTATGAGGAGCACTCAAAAAAAAAATTTTTTTTTTTACAAAAATTACAACAAATAAAATAGAACACAAAAAGTAAAAATAACATGCAAAAACAAAAAATAAAATAAAAGAAAAAAAAACAGTATAAAAAATAGTATAAAAAATGGACTATAAAGCGAGTAGCGAAATCAGATCTACTTACATGGACGGGAAATTTTTCAAGAATGATTTAAAAATGTTTTCGCAGAAAGATTGCCAGATTACAAAATATGAAAACAAAAG